TTTGTGACGCCGTGTGACTAGGGGGGAGGGGGGGTCAAAAATCGTCCAAAATCGCGTGACGTCATTTATGGACGGCCCCTTACGTACAATGTTATAATAGTTGTAAAGCACCTTAGGAAAAGCACCTTAGGAAAAGTCGCTTTATAGATATTTTAAAGATAAGATACTATTTTATAAATATGGTGGGAGATTAATATTTAGACTGCTTTGTTTTTTTGGTTTCCGGGAGCTTTAGCTGACACAAGTGTGAACACGCGAGTATAACACTGTGAACTCGCAAACTTTGGGGGGCTACTTCCCAGTGTGATTGGATATATCACTCGGATATTAAAATGTAGGGCAATTGTGTAAATATGAGCAATGTGCTAAAAGGAGTTGAACGAGTTTTTCAATCCGTTACGGTAACATCCATTCATCATAGTTCACTGCAGCCACATCGTGTCTCGTCCGTTGCGTTTCATTTACAGCGCCTGGCTGAGAAGGTCTGGAATGGGCACTACCATTGAAATGCAACACAACGTCAAGTAATCCCCAATAAGAGAACATCAGATCCATTGAAAATAGTGACAATGTTCAGTAGTTCCACACTGATACCTCTGATCGATTGTAGCGCATCACGCTAATACATGGCACCGTGACGTTATAGACATGGCCTGCAACCCCTCCCTCCGCCTCCACAAATGCAAAACCTTTACGGTGCTCGTGCCGTTATCAGCATCAATAGGAAGATTTCTTTACACCAGCCGTCTCCCGGTTTCCACAAAATGAGTGGTCATTTGCGTGGTGTGGCGTGTAAGTGCGCGCCGACTGCACCGTACGTGTACGGCCGCGATGACAGCCTCGTGGGGAGTGATGGTTTTCGAAAGAACACTGTGCACGTGTGTGCGCTCAGTGCGTGCCGATGCTGAGTGATAGTGGGGTGGTGAGCGCTACGCCGTGCTACGAACCCGGCGACCCGAATTCAATTCCCGCTCACAGCCACCAACACCAGTGGCAAATATCTGAACCAGTCCTGAGCCTCCCCTAGGTCGACTCGGCCACAAATAAGTACTTGGTGCGGCATGTAAATATCCCCATTAGAGAGGCAAAAATGGCTTTCATAGGTGGTCGTAAAAAACAGCACTTTCCCCGAAAGTCTGTTCAGGCTATACAGGGGATCTTTGGTGCATGACGATGGTGAGTGCTCTGTCTTAATCACTTGATATGTGTGGATTTTCACAATCACAGTAATAGGTGGGTTAGAAAGTAAAACCGTTTACATTTCAGTGTTGTTCTCAGTATTTGTTTTGCTTTAATCAATTGATGTTTGGTGTGAACCATGTCATTTGAAGTGAGTTCCGTGAATCTTTTTCCCCATAGCTCGATCAGCAAAGGAATGCTCATTGCCTTTTAAATGTTATGAATATTTGTTTTTGCATTTCATTTTAAACAGATGGCAGTTGGAAGGTCTCATCATAAGCCATGCGTATAATTTAAATTATGTGGCGAGCTATTTTCATCATCTTTCATATTGCAATCAAACCTACGAAATTGCTTGTCATGTTAGCGGCATGTTCACGCCAACAACGTGTGCTTTCTGGCTGTGATGTACCCTGGATATGTCTGTCAGTGATCTATAAACAAATTCACAGGTTGTGTCCTGGATGTGATTAAACATGTTGCATCACCTTAGTCCTGGCCTTGCTTCACTGGCTTCCTATCCCCGAGCTTGGGGGCCACGGGGGTCCATGTCCTCAGCCTAGCACCCTCCTCCACCTCCCTATCTCTGCAACCTTCTCCACTGTCCCCCCCCCCCCCCCCCCCGCGTGCGTCTCAGCCACTGCCTCCGCTCCCGCCGCTGCCATGGGCCCTGGCTCCCTCCTCCTTGCGCCCAGCGGCCGCCGTGCGACGGTGCGTGGCTGCTCTTTTAGCCACCGGAACCCCCTGGAACTCCCTTCCTGCCTGGTCACCCCCCCCCCCTCGCTCACTCTGCTTTCAAGTCTCTCCTCAAAACTTTCCTCTTCAACCCCTCGTGCCTACGGGGGACCTCATTATTTGCATCCGTTAACCCCTTCCTTGCTCGTTTCCCTCCCGTTTCCTCGTTTGTAATCCCGTGCTCTTGAGAGATTTCTTCACGTGACGCATGTTGCACTTCTTTCTCGCCGCACGTAGCCAATCGTGCTAATCGGAGGTGCGGGGGAAAGACAACAAACTGAAACACAAAAAACTGTTCTAAAGAAATTATTGTTTAATCTACATTTGTGAATGTAAGTTGTAGTTGTCTTAATATGTAAAAGGTAAATTTGTGAATGTGTGTGTCTGTTCAAAATGTTTAGCATACTTCCTGACATGCAACAAACTTGAAATTTGGCATGTGGGTACTTTCCAGACTGTACACCATGCAAAAAGTATAAAAATAGACTTTTGTATTTTGGGGGGGTGGGGGGCGCAATAATGCATATATTTTGCACGGCAAGTGAGCTGTGACGTCACATCTGTCATGTCACCCACATGAGGAAGCGTCACGCAGTGTGCCTGCTGATGTCACGCATCCCCCCCCAACCCTCCACGAGTAAAGTGCCATACAAATGTGTTGCAGGTCTAAGGCGTTCTTCGCGTAGCATTCGTTTATTATTTGAGTCGTTTATTGCCGTACGCACCCTGAAAGTTGCGTGTGTTTTCAGCAAGCGCGTGTATGTGTACCTATGGACGCGCGCGCGTGTGTGTGGGGGGAGCAGTAGTGTAGTGGTTAGCACACTACGCTACGCTACGAACCCGGCGACCCGAGTTCGATTCCCGCTCACGGCCACCACCGGTGACGATTATTTGAACCGGTCCTGGGCCTCCCCTAGGTCGACTCAGCCTCAAACGAGTAACTCGTGTGGTGTGCGAACATCGCCACTGGGGGGACAAAGGCAGCTGGGCGTGGTGAATCCAAGTCCCGGGCGAAGCCAGGTAGTAAAGCTCGTTGTAGTATATAAGGTAGTCTATATGATACAGCGATGGAACACAAGTAGCACCGCCCAGAAAAGCAAGACGCCGCTCATCTACGATGTAAGTGGACATGAAACCGTTTCGATTTGGCTGCTCCTGAAACCTCCGTCTCACGAGAACAATGAGATCATCAGCGTTGGCAAACATGAGCCGCTTCCACCGAAGTAATAATTATATGTTAATACAGATCACTGTTGCAACGAGATGTGTAACGAGTCATCAGTTAACATTTATTTTGACACTTATTATACACGATAAGAACATATTGTTTACTATAAATGCAAATGATGCAGATGTTAAGCTCATGGAATGAACCATACGGGACAAGACAGAGCATATGAGATAGACACTGAACAAGACAATTCAAATAAAAAACTGATGTTTTTATTTGAATTGTGAGCCTGGGTCGTGATGCTTAATTGGTTTAGCTTGCGGGGCCAGGAGTGTGCAGGTTATTACATGCCGAGAGCTATCGATTATGAATGAATTAAATATGCATTGTTAACCTTTAGAAGGAGAGCGGGGTAGAGCGGGGCTAAGCTTGGAATGGTTGGTGGGGGCAAATGAAAAATATTGTCCATCTTTTGTCAATCCACCGCCACCGAGCGTCCGACAGTGAATGACGTTGCTTATTTAAAATGAGACGATGTAGACTCATTGAATTAGTCTACAAGTTTTTCATAAGGAAAACTCACCTGATTTGATTGTGTGTGTGTGTGTGTGCTTTAACGGCGTGATAAAAAAATTCTCATTTTCCCCCGTAGCGATAAATGCCCCTCCTTGGTCAGTGGAATAATCGAAAAAGGGGAAATTGTTTGGATCCAAAATAAAACTTTTTTATTTTTTGCCTGAAACCGACCTCAGAGGTGGTTTTAATGACAGCTTCACACGCAGCTGTGCCTGTATTTTGATGTGGACATTGTGCAACGAATGGATTTTGCGAGGCTCTGCTTTAAAACCAATTGTGGATTTTAAGTGAGAGCTCCTCCGTTAAATCGGGAATCGTTTGGCGGCAGCGGTGCAGTAGGCTGTCTGTTTAACTCTTTAACATCCCGATCAAAGAAGAGGGAGACGAGCTTAAACATTTCCTCTTGCGGCAACCAGTCGGCAAAGCCTCGCATCGTGTGTGGCAGGAGGTGGGGCCCCCCTTTAAAATGAAAACGCACACAGACAGTGACGACAGATGGAGATCTACAGATGTAAATCTGTACTCTGGTCGTTTCGATAACACTCTCTTTTTTTACACGACACGATTTTTAAAGAGCAGGTTACCAGAGGTCCCTGGTAGTTTTCAGAACGGGGAAAGTATAAAACCATATTCAAAAGCAAATGTGCACAAGTCTGAATTTAATCAATCGCGTTAACTATTACTTACTCTCGAGTCAAAGACGTGGCCCGATCGGCAGCACGTCTGCCACTTGTTTGCCACAGAGGTTCTCGGTTTGAAGCCCGCGGCCGCCCTGGTTAATGCAGCCGGGGTGTTAACAATAAAGGTACTGTTTGATGCACGTTAGATGTTATAGATGTTGTACACGCTGTTAGAAAAAGAGGAGGTCATTGTGTGCTGGCTTCGTGGTCCAAATTTGCCGGATTTTAAAGGAAAAAACACAACAGACTCGTTTTGGAAATTACATAGCAACCGTCACCCACAACTCCTTTTCGGGGTTCTCCTGAAAAGGTTTCTCCTGAAAAGGAGTCTTGGGACTCGGTGAGGCTTTCCTGGGTAATTTTTTTTTTACAAAAATACATATTGATGGCACTGCTTAAATGGTGTCAATTCGACATTCTTACGGCACAGACTAGTTTATCAATAAAACATCCACTGTTGACTGTGACTCCCGGCAGTGATTTGGACTAACTTACTTTTCCTTGGTGAGTCGGACACTCTGACCACATGCTCCGTGGCTGGATTATTGTTCCGAGCACCACGTTTGGGAAGGACGTGGATGCCGATGAGGATGACTACGAGCGGCTGCTGTGCCCCCTTGCTGACACCCCCCCACCGCCCCCTCCGCCCCCTCCTCCAGGCTAAGAGCAAGCAGTCTCCTATGAGCGCCAGCCCGGACTCAGGCTCCCTGGGACAGGTGCCCCTGTGGCCATCTTCGCCGCCCGGCGCCAGCACAACCTCCGCTTCCTCCAGCTCCGCTAACGTCAACGGCGTCGCCAGCGCTGCTGCCGCGGTGGCTCCCTCCGGCCCCACCCCCGGCCCCACCACCCCCAACTCCTTGCACTCCATGGCTGCCGAGCGATGGTAACGTTGCCGAGCCGTGCACATGCACGCGTGCGTTCTTTCACCCGTTGTAGCCCAGACGGATCCGTTGGGGGGGAAAGTGCAGTTGGCGAGCGCCTATTAAGACCGTCGAGTTAGATTCCTCGGACGTGTAATGAGAAGACAAGAGACTGAATGTAAATGTTTTGACCGGTGGAAAATTGTGGTGCAAGAAGCCGGGAAGGACAGAGAGTTAGGCACTTAATACATTTAAACAATGGGATGAGCATCTCATTCAAAAGTTCTTGAGTAACATTATGGGCAGAGGTATATGGAAGAAGGCCATGATTGCCATCGTCTAAGAAAGGACGTGGCAAATAGACTGTGGGCGAGGTGGTGTCCAGCACCACGCCGGACCACCTTTATCTCCCCAGCGGTGACATTTTCACACCTCACCCAGGTATTCAATTTGGGCGACCTAGGATGGGGTTCAAGTATTCTCCGCTGATGTTTTCCACGAGCAAGAATAAAGGTCGCCGTGCTCGTAGTGCAGTGCCCTCATAGGATCATAATCTTTATTTAGACTGGAGAAATGTGATGAGATAGGAAGCTCTTATTCACCGATGTTCCAGTAGGGGTGGGTCAAAAAGTTGCAACAACGAACAATACAAAAAAATACCAGAGGAGGGCAAAATAGAGAAAAGGGAAAGCAAGTCACCAAATAAAACTTTAACAAAAAACAAAAATTAAATACATGAGTCGGATTTTTCAACGCTAAATGCAAGCTTGGGCAAAGCAGCAAAACAACGACAAAAACAGTCCCAGACCACACCGAGACAGCATACAATACCTCAATAAAATGGCACATTTAAATGTAACTATCTATACACGGGTAAGGTTCAAAGTTACAAATCACAGTGGCAAATGTGGAACCTTCCACCATCCTACACCGGGTTCCCAATGACACTGATTTGTTCAGGTCATTAGTTTGTGATAGTAGATTTTTCATCTTGTGGTAGGAAATACTATTGTTCCAAAACGTTGGTGCTGCAATGGCATGGGCTTTGTCACCTATTCCATTGTTGTAGGGGTATTTAAAAGGCAATTAGGTTCCTTGGGTTTAACAATTGGGATGATGAATAAGCTAAGTATAGTGAAGATTTGCCAATAAGGATTTTATGGATGAACAGGGCCCAGTGTAGATGTATTCTTGCATCAAGTGATGTGACATTGGATTTGAAGCAGAGGTCATAATGGTGGGTCCTGTTTGATACATCCAGTGCACTACCGCTCCCCAGACATGTGTGCACACACACACACATTCACCTGTAAGAGGCTGGGTTGCCTCAGCAGCTAAAACACCACAAAGATACCTGAACTAGCACTACCAATGGTCTGGTGTTCGGCACCCACCCGAGATAGAAAGACAAAGGCACCTTACAAAACAAACATCGGCCGCACACACACTCCAACATTCTCATCAAGGAGCATAAACCATCACACGAACTCCGGTCATCCTCGCCGTGGCTTTTGACTTGCCAGCGAACAAAGATGGTCACTGCATTGGAGCGGAGCTATGCACTTTTAAATCTACATTGAAAACTATTTTATTTAGAACTTATTTTTGTGTTTAGTTTGTTGTCCTTCCCCCAAACCTCTAATTATCGTGGTTGGCTACGTACAGTGCGAAAGAAGTTCAACACCTTTCCCCACACATTGGTGCCCATTTATGTATCTGTAACAGAATCTGCAAACGGCGGGTGTACTGCCATGCCATGCACGCGCCAGCCCATACCGACAAGTATGCGCGCACACGTGTGTGCACGCAGACACGTGCGTGCACACACGTGCACGCTGACACTGCCGAGCTGTGAGAGTGGCGCCGCCGGGGCCTCACGCTGGCGAGTGAGTCGCGGTCGTGTTGCTGCCCGTGGGTCGTGGCGACCTGCCTCGTGGGACCCTGAGCTCGTCTCGTTGCCATGGCAGCAAGCTTTCAGGCACCCATTGCAAATGCTTCAAAAAAAATGTTAACACTTCTGACAATTTTGCAACAATACCACGAGAAATGTGCCTCCGGGCTCTGGAGACCACCTTGAGAAGATTCCAGGCACGTGTTGACAATGATGGTGCACAAGTGGAGACTTTGACTTTTTAAATCTATTAACATACATTTGTTATCATGTTACAGTCTATTATCCATTCCTTTTCCATTAAAAACGATAGTCCCATTTAAGTGTTGACTTTTTTTGAAGCACCCTGTATTAATTTGAGGACAAATAGTAGTTTCTTGGATTCTGTAATTTTTCATGTATTTTCACGAATCACGATCTGCACAAACACACTGCTTACAGATTGCACGTAGCTATTGAGCCACCTGTTGTGTGTGGGCTTTCTCTCGACACTCGCATTTCCACCTGAATCCCTCAGTGAGGATCTCCTAGATTAATAAAAATGTGTTATTATTTGTTTTCTCTCTGCAAATTATATTCTAAATCTGCTGTCGACGTCACATTATGGAACCATCCAACACTGGGTTCCCAATGACACTGATTTTTTCAGGTCATTAGCGTGACCGAACCAAAATAATTAAATCATGAATCATAAAATTGTCTGCGAAAAACGTGAGTGTTATGATATTAAACGGTCCAATGCCATCGTATCTAAACGACAAAAATACCATGCTGAAATAATATCTGCTTTATGACAGGCCACGTGACCTTAGCCAACCAATCGGAGCACTGGTGGGTGTGTAAAAAACAAGTAGAATACATCAAAAAGTGGTTTGAACACAGCTGCGTGTTGAGAGCCATATGCCACGTTATTTTTACAAAATGTCAACATTATTTTTGGGAAATGTGCTGTCACGAGCTCAAGCTTCGAAGTTGGGGGGGTGTATACCACTCTACTGAGCTCAGCACCGACGTGCACACGCGTAGCACTTTTCATAAAGAAGCAGTCACAGCTCAGTTGGTGCTAATTGAATTGTATAATCCACATTGAAGGCACACAACCGTCCTCGTTGAGCCTGCAACCTGGAGTGGCTCGCCATTGAGACGCTCCCTTTCCTTCAGTTGGTACTGCGCCACTCGCAGATTTGCGTTGCCGATTAGGCAGAGGCCGCAATCCGAATGGGCATCCTCCCCCCCCCCCCCCCCTCTAATGCATGTGTTGCCGCAGATATTTTTGCGTTTGCAAGCGATGTGCGATTCGTTAAGATTGCAGCCTGCTGGGTTTCATCCAAGCACGCTTTCACGGGTGTTTGTGAAAATCAATGCACCCAACCTTTTATTGGCTGATGTTTTTTTTCTTCTCATGCCTCCATAAGTAACGCATTAGCAGATGGAGAGACGGTCAACTTTTCAATGAATGGTGCAATCAGAACGGTATTGTGAGAGCCACGTGACAACGTGCCAGGGTGCAACTTTTTTGTGATCGAGCCACTTTCACATCCCAGTTGTGCTATTATCAGGTGATGTGGTGTCACGCCAGTGGCATCATTTACGCAACAGGGAGCAGAGCGCCAATCTTGACCGGGAGCAATCCCCAGAGGATGCGGGATGGCACAGAGCTTACCTGTGGTGCACGCCGATGGCTGTCTTTCACCACGCAATCCCCTGCTTTTAACTTCAAGTGTGGTTTCGCCTTGTCTGACCATCAGCTCATTTTAATGCCTGGCAATCAGCAAAGTCACATTACCTCAGTTGAACACGTAGGCTTTCGCGACCAATATTATCCATAATACTCACATTACCTCCTTTGATGTGCTACTTACACGGGTTGTCGCGGTTGTGATTTGTAAGTCTCTAGATTTGTTTTCGGGCTGCACCGCATGTTCATTCCGACCTCCTTGTGTGTTCCTCGTGTCCTGATGTCCAACATTTCACTCCCAATTTGCTGGAAGCTTCTTGAGGAACTGAAGACGGTCCCAGCACGTGGAGTGAAACATCAGACATCTTGCAGAACAACACGCGGTGCAACCCAAAAGTGCATCGAAGAACCTTTCAAATGAACCATACGTTCATGGCGGTGTAGTTGTACAGCCCTTAGGGACCTGATCTCAGTGGTGCCGCAATTTGCTTCATGAAGCAAGAATTAGACCTCTGTTCCTTCCCAGCAAGCTCACTGGTTCCACGTTCGAAAAGCAGAGGCCGAAAACGCTTCACCAATATTGTAAATAAACAACGCACTACCACTACAAAATAAAAAAATACGTGAAGCAACGTTAGGGACGAATTGACTTAACAGTAGAGTCGTCCAACGTGAGAAAAAACAATGACAGCCCTGTGCATTTTTTGTGCATTTCTCGACACGTGTTGTGATCGTCTCCTGAGCAGTGCATGTGTGCTCGTGTGTACGTCCCAACAGTGAGGCGTCTCTGATGTTGATCGCTGAGGGCCACAGCCAGATGAGCCGCTGCGTCGATGTCATCCAGGAGACTCTGCGTGAGCAGAAGCTGGACCTCAAGGTGAGGAGAAGTGCCCGTTCACGGCCAAGGGACTTGTGCTGCACAGAGGCCGACTTTCATAACATTTGCTGAGCATGGGCGCAAATGCCCAAACATGCAAAAGGGCCAGCAACAAATGGCGCTGTTGAAGGTTTAATAGATGGGAGTTAATGCGTTTCTTTCGTGAGCAAAGTTGTAAACATTTCGGAACGAGGCGATTGGAGGGAATTCCAAAGGGGAGCAGTGCTAGGAAAGAATCAGAAGTGTTATAACCTGCAGTGTGGTGGTTTAACACAGTATGAATAAGCATACCTGTCAACCCCTTATCAGTGCCTACCTTATTACGGACCAATTCAGTCTGTATTGGTCACCCCGTGTCCCTAATAAATCTCAACGTTCATCCTACGAAGTCCCATCACAAGGGAGAAACACAAACAAATATACACATTTTTTGCCCGTATTGAAACGGCTGTACGCCATATGGACCTGAAAACTCAATTTCCCTGTACAATAATACGGGTAACCCGTATAGGCTGACAGATAAGAATAAGTGTTATCGCCTGCAGTGTGGTGGTTGAGTACAGTATGGATAAGACAAAACAGTCAATCTAGTACAACCTAGTTCTTAATATTTGATTTATGCAGTTGGGTAGCTCGTAGGGCTAATGTTTAATTAGCAGTGACCCAGTACCACTGAGATCCTCTACGCATAAGAATTGCTTAGAGAATGTGGCAAGTCCCAGTAACGGTCTATGGAGACATTGGCCCTCACCATACAAATGTTGGAATTTTAGCCACACAACTGAACAATGTCCCATGACCAGGGAGGAACATGGATTTTTTTTAGGAGATTATTTGATATCATGTATATACATATAATGTGCATTGTTAGATATTGAAGCAATTGTTGTCGGGCAGATGAAGCAAAGTCTGCTAGAAAAATAATCTAATGTCTAATTCCATCAGACCCCACATGGGGGCACGATGACATTGTGGCGACAACAGACATTGTGTGGCAGCATGGTTAAATAAACAGCTCTATACTGGTCTTGTGTCAATTTGGAAATCAGCTTTCATGAAGTCCAAAGCTGAGGAGGCATTGGGGGTGTGCGTTGAGTCCCTCAGATGCCTGCGACTATGAGGGATGCTAAACCTCGCATAGAGATCTGAGACTGAACTGGACTTGCGACCGTGGTTATTTTAAGAAACGAAGGTACCGTGGAGTGTAAAGTTAAACCGCCGCAGTCTCTCGCCTTCAGTATCTTGCTCTATGCATGCAAGATACGAACGACGAGGAAATTGGACATTGAAGCCGCAGGCGCTTGCTCCGCGTTAGCTTTACCTCGTATGTGACTAACGAGGCCATCGCCAGAATTTACAGCGTGACCAGAATGTGACGCCTGATATCGGCACGATGATTGGACGGAGGAAACTTGAGTTCGTGGGGCATGTTGCTCAGGTGAGCGATGAAGCTTTGCTTAGGCAGGTTCTGCTGGGACTGCCGCTAGGTGTTGCTAGGGCAGTGGGGGCCTTTGGCCGGTATGTAACTGCGAGCGGTTTGTAACTGAGTGGTGAGTAACTGTGAGTGGTTTGATGATGTGGCCGACTGGGTGATAAGTGGCATGTCGCGATTCTGAAGGCGGTGTGAAGACCAAGAAACGTGGAGAAAGATTTGCTGGTCGATGATTTCTTTGTGGTGTGTTCACAGTTATTGTGATTCGTTGATGCTTTCAACACTTTGAGAAGCAGACTTAGAGGGTATTGTTTCATATATTTGTGTAGCCCGCAGTCTTTCTTTCCAGCTGATCATAATACCCATGAACTCCAAATAACGTTTTATAACAGTTTACTTGGGCATGTGGGAGCTGGCCTGACCATGTTAGCCACATGATGCAACCATTGCTGTGATTGTGGGATGGCACTCGCAAGGGCCTTCGTGGAATCATAAACGTGCAAAACTTCCGTTAAATTAACTAAAAAAAGAAGGGATGTGCCGAAGAAACTTGTTTCACTCCAGCTTTCACTTAACGTAAAAGGCAACGTCACATTCTTTAGAGGAAAACCGTTGCAACGTGAGAGGTAAGAGTTAATCCTTTTGGTACCGATTTTCGTCTCGGCATGAATACAATGCAAGCCGCAAAAACCTGGTCAGTGGAGAATTCCCCGGGCAGAGTTATAAATGAGCACCAATTGTAAATATGATTCGTGAAGTCTGCTTGCCCTCTCTCTGTGAGTGTCCCACTCACTGTTGTTGTCCCCCTGGGGCTCTTGCGCTATTTTGTTTTTCATGAACACTGGGAAACGTGCTGGCTTGGGTGTGTGAACCAGGCTTGATGGATTGGCTCGCGTTTCCACGTCAGCGCTACCATGTTGACTTGACACCACGTTGGCCTGCGTGCCACCCCGGTCTGAGTGCCACGCCGGCATAGCTGTGATTATGAATGGTGCCTCCCCTTTCCACCTTGTGTAGACCTTGGACTGGAGCTGGCTCTCAAGCTAGCGACTGGAGTCGCCACACACACACGTGTCACATGGAGCAGGAGAAGACGAGCAGAACCGGCGGATGGGTTTTGCTATGGCTTGGGCAGGACACGCGCACCACCAGCAGTTTGGTGTTGGACTTGGGCGCTCTGTAGCTTTATCGCCTCGCGTTATCTGCATGTGAGGACTTGCGTGAACCCTTTCAAATGCAACAAATGAAAAAACACTATTTTTTAACTGCTGTATATTACATTTTTGGACTTTCTCTCTTAACCTCTTTTTATATTTTTTTGACAAGACTATGTAGAAATGAGGTGGCTGCGGCTCAGCTGGTTCATGGTGTAGAAATGTCTTAGAATTAATAAAACAAATCTAAATAGAATCTTCTGTTCCACAGTACGTACTGCCAGTATTGATGGTGACACGCTAGATAACGTTCCCTCGACTGGTTCGTAGCTCAAATCGTCGTTGATTTAATTGCCAATAAAGCTCTATCGGTAAAATTCCCATTGGCTCGAATTTGATACAGAGGTTTAGGTTCATTATGACAGTGTCGAGGATTACTGGACCGTTTTACAATGTAATTTGATTGTGTATTATTGGTTCAAACATGTCGATGGTCTGCCATTCCGGTGTTGCAATTTGAGGGGTTTATACGTCAGGGATGGCATTGAAACGTGCGTCTTTCTAGCCAGGTTGAAAACGTCACATTTAAGAGTTGGGAGAACCGAGCTCAATGTTTGAGTTGTAGGTTTTGATAAATGGTGCCTTGTAGGCTGGTTTTAGGTTTTGGCAGCGCACGCAAGCTCATGGCCTTCGACCTTTGCTTCGGAGTTGAGATTGGTGGTGTAGCCACGCAGGTTTTATCACGCGCTTGAAGCCTCTCCTGCGGCTGCAGGGGCGGCACGGTGCGCAGGAGGTGGCAGAAGGACAACGTGGGTCTGGGACCCATCTGTGCAGGGTTTTAAAAGTTTTTTTGTGTTTTTTGTCCTCCCAGTGACTGGCCACAACAACCCCAATGCAGGACCAACCTCCCCCCCCCCTAAAAGCCTGGAGGCTCACTGATATGTTCTGTGATAAATAAATAAATTTTATTCCTGTTGTTTCCAACAGTTTGAGAGGTAGGTGGACTGGCTTTGCGATTAACCTTCATTGTGGGAACTGTTGAGGTGGAGAATTGTGCCTGAATGAAATGTACCTAGAACATCAAAGTGTGCCGTGTTCAGGATGTTTAATCAAATGCCGCTATGATCCGATACGTAAGGCAAGTTTAGAGGGTTGGAGACGTGACCTGGTTGTTGGTGGTGGTTATCAGTAGAGTTATCTTTGTACAGGAACATTTTGACAGTGCTGCAATATGTGTATAAACCTCCACCGTATTATAGAACTCTGTGATGCGTTAGGTGCACGAGTTCCTCTGACACGGTTTTTGTTTTATGTTGCCGTTCGTGTTATTTCTGTAAATTTAAATACCCGTTCTTATGGACGTCATTGATTGCATTGCATGGGGCTTTCCTACGCTCGCTATTGTATGTTATAATATTAAAATGTGGATTTAAGAAGATGAAATGCATTGGGTTAAGTGTAGTGTCTAAACTACAATCCTCACACGACTCCTTACGGTATTTACATACATGTAACTCCATAACACACTCATGTAACTCAAAATATAACACTCTCAAATATCTTCTTGGTTCTTTCGGTAAAGTCACGTAGAAGGGAAGCAATAAAATAATAAAAATAAAACATAATAAAATAAAATAATTCTCAGGACGTTTCGGCTACAACGCAAGCAGCCGTCCTCAGGTGCTTCAGGTGAAGCTTCACCTGAGGACGGCTGCTTGCGTTGTAGCCGAAACGTCGTGAGAATTATTTTATTTTATTATGTTTTATTTTTATTATTTTATTGCTTTCCTTCTACGTGACTTTACCGAAAGAACCAAGAAGATGGATCCCTGCAGTCACGAAAGCTTTAAATCGAAACTCTCAAATATATACGATACATGTCAGAGAGCATAGTTATCGTCCCGGTTTTTTAACAATTTGCTCTGAATGGTGTGATTTATTTGCGAGCTCATGCCAGAAGATAATGCAATTGAAATGTGGAATACCGCTCTTGAGTCATGCATTTGTAAATCTTTGGCGTTTACTTGTTACGTGACATTTTAATTGTTTTCCAATAAACCATTTTAGATCGTCGGATAGAACTCTAGTCCTCCGTTGACGACACCTATCGTACGTATCACTAATTCTCAGCTGGAATCGGTGGGGCACAAAGGAAAGAAATACCGAGAGCCCTCTGCAGACAACGGACGCTCAACATCACGGGCATGATTGTGGCATGAAATAGAAATGCCACTGCTGGTGTGTCTCTTGCAGGAGGCTTCCTTTGCCAGAAGCCACAGGGACAGCGCTTCTTGCTCGTCGTGTGCTTTTATGTCGAGTCGTTATTCTGTTGTACTCTGTAACGCGTGCTTACACACATTGTATATACAATGAGCCCGATTAGGTGGGCGGAGATTTAATAAAGTGAAGACGAACATTACTGCACATGATTGGAGTTTCTTTTTGACCAGTCGTTGGCAGCTATCCCACCGCTACTCACGACTCTTCCAATATTGTCTTAACGATATGCGGCTTCTCCCAGCATGTTTGTTTGTTTTTTTGCAAAGGAGGCCTCTAAAATAATGTTATTTTATCTTTCACCGTTCTGGATAATTTTAATGTAGGATTTGGACGATGACATTCCCATGCAATGGACAGTTAAAGTGTCGCCTCTCAAAATGCCCACGGTACTTTTTAAGTAATTTTTTACAAAGACTAGGTGATTGAAAGTGAACAATTTTACTTTGCAAACAGGCTCAGCGATGTAGAGTGATGGGGTCACAGCCAAACCCGCAGTCTCAGCAGTGCCGGCTCTGTTGCTTTGATATCGGCAGAACTTTAGTGCTGGTGACGGCTGGTAGGTCATTTATGGTTGGGCAGTGTGAACAGTAGGCGTGGACAATGACTGAATCGCAGTCATACACTCGTGTACCTACGGTTCATCAGTATTGTGCACTAAATCATTTAGTCCTCACGATCGTATCGTAATCATCTCAACTATTCTCACTACTGCTGTTATTACAAATGTAGTGACACCGACATTGCGGTCTTCGACGGTAGGAGTCTTTATTTGTTCAGACACGAGACACGGTCTCCCCCCCCCCCCTCCTTACATATCCCTCAAGCCGCTTTCTCGAAGGTTCATTGACCCACCAGCCAATCGCCTTCCCATTTTCTCTCACCGATTCCTTGCAAAAGGTTTCTATTTGGTGTTTTGAACATCTTAACACCCGTGTTATTGCCAGAAAGGGTCAAACTTATTCTTAAATTTCACACGTGAATTCTTTGGGTTCACAAGGCAGCAGCACTGCTGTGGCTTTCGGCGAGCGAGCGCGTGCCCCGTTTGGACGAAGTGGTGCCACCTTATTTATTTGTTTATACCTTGCCACTATTCGTCTCAACTCGCAATAAAGGTTTCTGATTGTCTACCCAGTGACACTGATTATGATGACAACAACAAAGAAAACAAACACGAAAAGCGCAATTTGCGGAAGCCAACCCCGTTTGTTGCTTTAATTAAATAAAAAAACGTGGAACGTAAATTAAAGCATTTTGCATTAATAATTTAAACTACGTTTTAAATGTTTTGTTCTTTTCCACTTGTTGTTGAAAACATATCATGGAGGTTGTGAAGGGGAACCCAAATCGGAGCTTTGTCCACCAGGGGGCGGCCTGACACCCCCTGCCTGCCCCACGCAAAGTTTCCCCTCTGGGTCGGGCCCGAGTCTCTTGTGAGGTCCGAGAGGAGACGCCTCCCTCTGCTCCTCGCTCTGTGTCGCAGGCAGAGTCCGGCGCCTGGCGCAGGAGAGTGGTTCACTTTGTCGTTGTGGCACTTATTGACTTGGGCTGGTATGCAGGATGTCGTGGGTTCGATCCGCACCCTGACGTCTGTATCATTGGAGTTTGCATGTGTCTCTCTCCCCGTGGTCGTTTGGAATTTTCTCCGCGTCCTCTGGTTTCTCCTTCACATTTAGAAACATGCGTTTAGAGTATTTGGCTCCTCTAAATTTCCACGTGATAAGCCACCTCATTGGGCTATCATTTGTGGCCAGGTCGCATCTGAAAAACAGATCTGTAACTCAGTGTGCCTTACCTGGTAAAATAAAAAATAGTTAAATTTGTGTGGCGCATCACTCGGGGGGTGATGCTTTCAAGTAAACTGCACAACCATCTTGAAGTTTGCTTTACGATGTGCACCCCACAGAGAAGCAACGACATTAATCTCCATCATCATCATCATTGGTTATGTTCAGTCCACTTCTGGATGAAGGCCTCCTCCTTGAGACATCTCTTGATCCTGCGATGCAAGAATGAATTTCGCGTCTGCACAAGCGCTGATCTCACCGACCCATCTCCGAGGCGGACGTCGTCTTGGACGCGTCCCATTGGCTGCCACTCCACACTAGTCTCGATCTTCAGCCATTCATTCGCTCGAGTGACGTGTCCTGCCCAAGTCTCACTTGCTTTTCTTCACGGAGAAGTGTCTTTAATCTATGTCTGTTGAACTTCTTTCGCGCCGTCCGTAGCCAACCGTGATAATCGGGAGGTGCGGATGTTGTCTCATCCGAGTGTTCCTCTTTCTCTCTCTGCAAGCCTTCTTTGAGCACTTTTCAACGTGTTCCGATTTTATTGTCAATGAACATGTTTGTGATCCATGTTGTCTTTGCAGGTAATAGGCATTAATTAAACACCTCTTTCAATAATTTAGGCTTTTTTGGGGTTAGATCGCGTAAATATAAATGTGCTGTACTAGTAACGAATTGGCATGTTCTGTTTACGTGACAAACCTTACTAATTGGCTGTGTCGGGTGGTGGCGGGTATAACGACACATTTAAATTTACGCGATCTAAGCAAAAAACCTTTTATGGATGATATTGGTCGCGAAATCTTACTACTCCGTGTTAAACAAGCGCCGTCTTATTTTGGCACATCCCTATGTTACCTTCCTTGATCAAGTTCATCTTTCTAAATGCCCCTCCAGCCTAGATTTGAAGCTTTCGTGACTGCAAGGATTCATACTCTTATATCTTTTCGGTAAAGTCACGTAGGTAAAAAATAAATACTAATAAATAATATAAGAAATAATAGAACTAAAATAATAAATCACGACGTTTCGGAGGCAACACAAGCTTCCGTCTTCAGGTGGAAGTACTTGATACAGAAATTGTGCTGTGACTGTTCCACCTGAAGACGGAAGCTTGTGTTGCCTCCGAAACGTCGTGATTTATTATTTTATTTCTTTTATTTCTTATATTATTATTAATTTTTTTCCTACGTGACTTTACCGAAAAGACCTAAGAGTACATCTCCAGCCTGCTTGCTGTCTTTCTCTATGCCATCATCATCGACATACAGCTCGTACAATGTTTATGTACAACTCTGGATGGTTTAAAATAGCCATTGTCAATCATACTGAACTTATCGCAATATGTTCCCGAGTTCAGTTGAAATATCTTCCAAGTGTAAAACTTAAAGTAGATTCTTTTTAAACAACAGCAAGAAGTAAACATCATTAACACGTTGCCAAGTTTAGTTGAAATGTAAAACTTTAAGTAGATTATTTTTAAACGACAGCGAGAAGTTAACATCATTAGGTTCAAATCCCCCGGTACAGTCTTTATCATGGTGTCTCTCCGTGTCAATAGCACCACAATGGTAACCATTAAATAAGAAACTCAAGCTGCTCAGGGTCTAATGAGGGTAGTGCAACAATGTTATGTACGTCAATCCGCATTGTACGTTGCAAATCAAATTCAGAAGGTCGCACCTTGTGATCCATATCTAACATTAAGCCACACTGAAACCAAATTGGGAAATAAACCGTAATTGAAGAATAAATATGTATGAGGAGGTTGTAAATGTAATAATCATTAGCAGCACATGTGCCACTTTTGTATGTAGGTTAGTGATGGTTGGGTGGCTGTCCTGGTCTCACGGTCAGCGTACTGGACTTGTAATCCAGAAGTCATCGGCTCGATCTCTCGTCTCGGCAGTTGACACGAGGTGCACGTCTCTTAAATCCCCCCCCCACCACCACAGTCCGTCAGCAGGTCACGTGAACTGGGGTAAAGTGTGGCTCCTTCCACCTCTTCCATGACGACTGACCAGGGTTAAAGATTAGGCCAAAATATGATCTGGGTGGATGCCTTTTTTGTCAGCAGTGTCATTAGGGGCTGTCCATAAATGACGTCACGCACCTAGGAGGGGGGGGGGGTCAGACATTTGTGACGATGTGTGACGAGGGGGGGGGGGGGTTTGAGAAATGTGACGTCGCATCAAAATGCGCAACTTTAAATATAGACAACACGTTCTATTTAATTAAATAGACTTTTTTAATAAATGTTTTCTCCTACAACATCAGAGTGCAGCGCCACATTAATTACGCACTACAATGACAATAGTTTAAAGCGATTTGAAGCATGTTTTATTTTTTTGGGGGGGGGAGGGGCAGAGCTTTGTGACGTCATATTTGAGGGGGGGGGGCTGACTTTTTGTGACGTCGTGTGACGAAGGGGGGGGGGGGGGTCAAAAATCGTCCAAAATTGCGTGACATCATTTATGGACGGCCCCTTACATCAACTGGACATCTGTTAAACAACTGGACATCTATGAAAAA